AGCCCAACGGGCAAAGCCACCAGGCCCTGAACCAGAGGCTATTGCTTCCAGGTGTCCCGCATCAGCTAGCAGATGTATCTGCAATTAGACGCGTGGAGGAGGATGAGGCGGAGGAGGAGGAGGAGGAGGAGGAGGAGGAGGAGGAGGACGAGGGAGAGGGAGAGGGAGGAGGAGAGGGGGAGGAACGACGCAACGTTCAACGCCATCGCAACGCGTGAGCTCCACAATACTTTTGCAATCCGCTGATGCCCGTGTGGCTGATGTTCTTTCCTTGGGTCGATCAGGCAAGACATGTGAGCTCCAAGCCGCTACGAAAGCAATCCAGCACGGGAGTGGGAGGGGGAGGGAAGCAGCCGAAGGAGGGGGGGGATGGGATGCGAGGAGGAGGAAGAGGAGGAGGAGGAGGAGGAGGAGGAGGAGGAGGAGGAGGAGGAGGACGAGGAGGAGCATGAGGAGGAGAAGGCCGCATCGGACGGCTCACCGTGGCTTTCGCTGCCCTGTGCCAGGCACCGGGGCCGCGCTGGCGCCGCTGGTCCCGCCGCCCGCGGCGCCGCGCGCGCAGGCACGGGCCCCGCCTGCGATCGGGGGGGTCCGCGGCGCCAGGCTCTCTGCTCGCGCCTTCGTCGACGTCGTCGTCGTAGACGTCGTCGTCGTCGTCGCCGTCGCCGTCGTCGTCGTCGTCGTCGTCGTTGCCTCCAATGTATTTGGCGCTGCACCAGGGCAGGCTACCGAGCCGCCGTGTCCTTGCCACACGTGGACAAGCAGTGACGCCCGACTCAGGCGATGTGGCCCCAGCAAGAACGTGAGAAGTGCACCAGCAGCAAGGTATGGGAAGCTAGTGGCGAAGAGAACGAGAAAGACCATTCGCCTGCAAGGGCAAGCTCAGCAGGCTGCAGTCGTGAGGGGAAGGATGCCATGTGAATCATCGCGCAACCATAAGGAGGACACCGAGCATGGAAAAAAAACGACATGCTATGCGGTTTCCTGGGCGGCAGCGTTGCAGGTTGAGAGTAGGCGGTTGCACTGCTGTCCGCAGTCCACAATGTGACTTCCCAGCAGGGATGTCCCTGTTGCTGGTATCATCCGCGAAGCCTGAGACGCGCAAACCAGCTCCTCGATACCACCAGTTGCAACAACACTCTTCGCGTTACTGCCGTTGGTAATGGTAAGCATGCAGTGTAAAAAGGGATGTGGGACGCTCTACCCAGTGGGAGCAGGGGCGTAATACGCCCTGGCTACTGGGAGCACCAAGTTCGCCTCGAGTAGGCACTTGAACGATCATAGGCTCGTGCTAACTGCCGCTGGGTCAAGTGGGCATGTAAGGGATCTACTTCTTCGTCAAGCAAGTTCGAACGCTTCGGGTCTCAGTAGTGGCCCTTGCTGCCTGTAGCTCTCCTTCGGCCGTCCCGCATCCCTGTTGCGTAGCCTCCTTCTTGCCTCGTCTGCCAACGCATGCCTGGAGTGATGCGTAGAAGCAGCTTGGCAGCATGTTTTCCATCGCCGTGTTGCCTCAAGCCGTTTGATGTTCTTTGTTCGGAGAGCAAACAGCCATACATACATGCTTTAGGTGCTCCGCGCGGATTTTGCGGATCCGCGCTGGTCCTTCCCCCCTCGGTGGATTCTTTCCCTCGTCGGCGTTGTCGAATTCCTCCTCCTCCTCCTCCTGCTGCTCCTCTTCCTCTTCCCCTCCTCCTCCTCCTCTCCCCCTCCTCCTCTCCATCCCTCCTCCTATCTCCTCCTCCTCCTCCTCCTCCTCCCTCCTCATCTCTCTCCTCTCCTCCTCCTCCCTCCTCCTCCCCTTCCCCCCCCCCGCACAGGAGCCGCCCTCGGAGGAGGCGCGCCGCGACCGCGCCGCGGATCTGGAGCGCCCTCGTGGTCGTCATGGTGTTGGTGGTCGGCGTGGTGGTGGTCGTCGTCGTCGTCGCTCTCCTCCCTCCCTCCCTCCGTCCTCCTCCTCCTCATCCTCCTCCTCCCTTCGTCCTGCTCCCGTCCTCTCCTCCCTCCTCTTCGTCCTGCTCCTGGTCCTCCTCCATCCGCTCCCTGTCCTCCCCTGTCCCTCTTCCGCCACCTCCTCCTCCCTCCTCCTGCTCTTCCACCTCCTCCTTCCCCCCCCCCCTCCTCCTCCTGCCCTCCTTCCGACTCTCTCTCTTTCTCTCTCTCTCTCTCTCTCTCTCTCTTTCTCTTTCTCCTGTTGTCCATCCACCCGTTCTGCTTCTTCATGTTGGATTCCTTTCGGGGATCATCCGTTAACATTGGGACAATGCAGAGAAGATTAACATGGCCCCTGCGCAAGGATGACACACACACACACATCGAGAAGTGTATAACATGTTCATCTTCCGTCCTCCCTCCCCGCCGTTCTTCTGTGTCATCTGTCCTCCTCCTTCCCTGATTCCACTTGTTCCTCCTCCTCTTTCATCCTCCTCGTCATTGTTGTCCTTCTCCTGCCTCCCTTATCTTCCGTTTCCTCTTCCTTATATATCCCTGTCGCACTCCCAGGCGTGTCGGTAGGGCTGACCGAGCGTTTTGCATGAGATTCCCCCTGTTGTTTGTAATGTTGGAGCTCGAGCTTTGCACTACTTGGCAGTCCTCCGCCCCTCCTCCTCGCCCTTCTCCTAATCCTCCCACCATCCTTGCTCCTCCTGCTCCTCATCCCTTCTCCTCCTCCTCCTCCTCCTCCTCCTCCTCCTTCCTCCTCCTCCTCCTTCCTCCCTCCCTCCCTCCCTCCCTCCCTCCCTCCTCCCCCTCCTCCCTTTCCCCCTTGCCCTCCTCCGTTCTCCTTTCTCCTCCTTCCTATTCCTCCTTTCCCCCCTTCCTCCTCCTTTCCACTTCCTCCTCCTCTCCTCCTCCTCCTCCTCCTCCTCCTCCTCCTCCTCCTCCCTCTCCTCTTCCTCCTCCTCCTCTTCCTCCTCGTCCTCTTCCTCCCCTTCTCCTCCCACTCCCCATCGCCCTCCTCTTTCCTTCCTCCTCCTCCTGTTCTTTCCTGTCTCCGCCCTCCATGCGAGGAGCGGAGGGCGGCGCAGCTGCTTGCGGAGGGCATCGGCATGTGGGCGCCCCCGAGGACGGCGCCTGCCGGGGCGCAGCGCGCGCAGGCGGGTGCGTTGAAAGATCCCGCGCCGTCGTCGCTCCTCCTCCTCCT